ATTGTGAAAAGCCCTAGGTAGGAAAAAAGTCCTGTTTGTGGGTAAAAGACTGCACCAGTTATGGTGCTTTTTCCCAGCTTTCCCACTATGGATTTCTGCTCAGCAGAGCCCTGCTCTCCCACGGGCTATAGAGCTGCAGTGCCTCCAGGTATTTTGCCGTCAGAGCACCCTGAGCAGCTCCCACTGAGCAACGGCCACCAGAGAGGAAAAACCCAAAGAGAAAAGACACTGGTTTGAAGGGCTGCTCCCTTCCTCTTAGCCCTACGTACATGACAGCTATTGAAATATGTTCAGTCTGGAGAAGAGGAGGCTGAGGGGAGACCTCCTGGCCCTCGGCAACTCCCTGCCAGGAGGGGGCAGAGAGGGGGGATGAGTCTCTGGAGCCAAGGCCCCAGCGCCAGGCCCCGAGGGAATGGCCTCAAGCTGCCCAGGGCAGGGTCAGGCTGGCTCTGAGGAAGGATTTCTGTGCAGAAGGGGCTGTTGGGCGTTGGAATGGGCTGCCCAGGGCAGGGGGGAGTCCCCGGGATCCCTGGAGGGGTTGAAGAGTCGGGCTGAGCCAGCGCTGAGGGATCTGGGGGAGTTGGGAACGGTCAGGGTGAGGTTCATGGTTGGGCTGGAGGAGCTTCAAGGGCTTTTCCAACTGAGATGATCCTGGGATTCTGTGATTCCCTGCAGAGGACGGGCTGCCTGCACTGCTGGCATGGCACAGCCGCCTGCCTCCTCCAGTCCCTGCCCCTGCGGTGGCTCAAGGCAGCTGCTGCTCCAGCCCCCTGCTCTCCTATCACCTCTGCTCCTGGCTTATAGCATCCAGTCTCCCTCTTATTAATTTTTTTATCTATCTGCCTGCTCAGTCTTATGCAGTTCTTCCGCTTAAAGGGCTTCTTTTAAACTACCACAGTCCGTAGTTAATTAACTCGATGGCAAACATTGCTGGGACACAGTGGCAGGCAAGCCCCTCGACGAACAGCACTTGATAGATGGTGAAACTCTTGCAGAGCAGCTTCTCAAAGGTTATTGCTAGAGGAGAATGTTTAGTAATATATGATGTTGCTCTATAGGGTAACAGTGCCTGAGTGTCTTGGGAACCCAGAGTTGGTGAGTGAGTTACTCCCAGTCCCCGACTGACCCTGAGCCCACTGTGGAATCGAACTAATTAGCTCATCTCTAGACTTACTGCTGATGGCCATTAAGCAGTAAAAATAAAAATAAAATTCCCAAACCCAAGCATATGCCTATTTTTGAGAAATTACTGGTTTTTTACCGACTTCTGAAAAGCAGCCAGCCCTGGGTTGCAAGGCCCTGCATCACATGGCGTTGCAACACCGCAAGCGAGAGACACGCTTGCCGTGACTTACCTCTCCTACAGAGCCGGCGCCTTCGTGCGCTCCCTCGCTTGCTTAGAGCTCTGGCAACCGACCCAGCTGCTCTTCCCGATCCTGAGAGGCAAAGCTTGAAAACCGCAGTCGCCACACCTCCGTGTCCGACCATGTGAGTCACGGCGGGATGACTCAGATGATGTGGAGCAAAGTCAAACGCGGACGTTCCGTCGCTTTGCGTGCAGAGGGCTCTCAGCACCCACCCTGTGAATGCTGACGGGATGCTCGCTCATCATCCTCGCTGCTGCTTGGTTTATTTAAGTGAAGAAATTAGCTCAGATTTTGATTTGTATTTTCCCTTTCAGTCAGACGTTTTTTTTTAACACTGGCTGTTGTGTAACTGGAAGCACGAGGCTTATGGCATTGGTACTGGAAAAAAAAAACAAAACACAAACAGGCAAACCTTTTTGCTAAATGTTTTGAGTGAAATCCTGAAAATAATAGCAATACGGGTTTTTCAGGAAAATATCTCTTGCCAAAGACATTTGAGGGGTCTTAGGGAGGAAGGGAAAAAGACTAACAGGTTACTACAGCCTTACCTGGGAAGGCAGAAGTCACCGGTACCTGCTTAAAAACACTTAGTCTGTGTCACTTTAATCCACTTTATGAGTGCAAATGTGCACCTCCTGATTAATCCACTCTCAGAAAGGCTGTTTTAGACAGACGCTGGAGCAAGGACTCAGAGGGTTGTTCTGAAGAGCAGCGATCTCCTGCTTGTGTTCCAGCCTCAGGAAGCTCCATCGTGCAACGGATCAGGGAGGCTTCAACATTACTGGCCTAAACCCTCTCCAGGTCCCTGCGCCCTAAACCAGCCCAAAGGTGTCACAGTGTGTGTTTACTGAGGTGAGGTTTGGGTGCTGTGAAAGGCAAGTGAAGCAGCACTCTCTGTTTAATTACTTCTCTGAGTGGAGCGTCTCACTCCCTCAAGCATTCCTGACCTGTCTCATCAGCCTAAGGCTTAAGTTTGGTCTGAATCCCTGTGGCAAGTATTAAATGAAGCTGAAGGATGCTAAAATCCAGGCTGGTGCCCTGGTAGAGAGCAGGCTGCTCTCTTTTAAAGCCCAGTCTTTTAGATAAGCAGAGATGAACGGGAAGAAGTTATACTAAAATTCATTAAAACCAAACTCAACAGGTTTTTGCCTTTTTTTTTTTTTTTTTTTTTTTTTTTTTTTTTTATTGGCTGTGGTATTAGCCAAGCCCTTGAGTTCAGCCACTGCCTTAAAGTAGTTTCTACATCTTTAATGCCACCAATTAAAGTGTATTTCACTTAATAACCTT